ATATAAACTTAATGCTGATCTTAAGCGACGCTTCAAGGAGTTCGAAGTTGGAGACTATGTCATGGTTCGGATTCATCCGGAACGGTTCCCACCAGGGGCCGTTAAGAAATTGCATGCTAAAAGCGCAGGTTCCTTAAAAATAACTTCCAAAATAAATAGTAATGCCTATTTATTAGACCTTCCAGAAGGTTTCAACATGAATCCCACGTTTAACATTGAGGATCTAGTAGCCTTTGATGGCCCTGATTTTAACCCTGAAAATCCACTAAATATTGAGCCTTGTGAGTCCATACCTAGTGAGATCCCAAGCCTACCTCCACTTCCCAAAATTCCCACACTACCTAATACGGAGAAGATTGAAACCATACTCAGTGATGAGATTATTTCCACCAGGGATGGAGGGCGCCGAAGATACTTAGTTCGTTGGAGAGGGAAGCCGGAGACGGAGGATACATGGCTGGAGCGTGATGAGATGCAGAGACTGGACCCCGACCTTCTGGAGTTGTACGAGAGTTCTCAGGCCCCTTGCTCGACAGGGTCGAGCTTTACATTTTCGGTCAAGCCGTTGTTGAGGAAATCCGAATTGGAGATATTGGAGGTGAGTGAATCCGTGGCATATTGAATCCCTAAAAGAATTGCCCTTTCTTTCCCCCCTAGGATCCTTGCCGCCGCTCCCCCTCCCCTATCAACCCGCCGGCCAGCAGCAGCCCAACCACCCGCTGGCCATCATCCCGTCGGCCAGCCCAACAACCCCATCCCGTCGCCTCCCCCTTTGGATCCTCCCATCATTTGAATTTTAAATCTCTTGAGTTATTTACTTTCCTAATTTGTGCTTATTCAATTAGGAAAGTCCATTAAAGAGATTAAAGCCAAATTCGAAATTCAAATTTGCTTCCCTCTCATCTTAAATCTTTTGGGAAGTAATTAAATCTGAAATTAGAATTCAAATTTAATTAAATTATTTACTTAAACTTGGGCCCCACTCTCATAACTCCTAAATCCCTCTCCCCCTTTTCATATGGCCGGCCCCCTCAATGGGCTCTCTCTCCCTTCCAAATTCTGTTAATAACACCACAAATTTAGCTCAAATCTTCTCCCCTTTGCCGCCCTCTCTCCCCTACTTGGTTTAATTTGAATTTCAAATTAAATCCCTCCCTTAAACCACCCAAATCTAAAATTCATTCACATTTCCTGCACTTTCAATTCAGCCCCCTCCCCCATAGCCGAATCCCCCTAGCCCTCACGCCGGCCAACCTTCTCCCCCCAAGCCGCCACCTCCTCCCTCCCCACTTCTTCTTGGATTCTACCTCAACTCCTGGCAAGAATGCATGGCGGATCCTGAGCTTGAAGGCAGACTTGTGTTTGACGTCTACGGGAATATTCATGTACTTCGATCCCCATTCTTTGACGTGGGGTTTGACCGCGACGACGACACAGTTGGAGGTTACTTGGATCAAATCCTCCCCACCCTTGTGCAAGTCATCGACGGACAATTCGCAGATTACGAGTGGATCATCGAAGGTCATCATTCCTTGCTACCTCCACATCCTACGCCTCCCTCTCCACCTCTACAGATCGCCGGTGCCGTCTACCTCGGAGTAATCTCGTTTCTTGTGTGGTTCTTCTTCCTCCGACAACCTTAGACGTAGAAGAGTGATTTTAAGCCTCAAGGTGAGACAATCGCTTTGTTAACCGTCGGATTCTAGTTGGCTATTCATTTTCATTACTTGTGATTGAGGTTGTTATTTTATAGATCTTGCAAACTTAGTTGTAACAACTTGCCTAGACTTTGTTAACTTCTAAGATCTTTTTGAATTGTCAAATTTGATAAGCACTAAATTGTATTATCATTACTCTAACAAAATTTTATTAATTTCTAAGAAACAATTCATGGTTTCACATCAGGCGCGCCTCTTGTTGCGCAATTTAAAACAGAGGTGCAAGCAATCTGAATCAAAGTGAATATGCATGTTTCTATATTATGGTAACTGTTATTGCAAATGATTTATCTTATTATTTTTTTTAATTGTATTACAAATGATTCATTTCTTACATATTAAATAATTTACCTTACATTACTGCATAATGCATAAAGTAAAATAAATGTAATATGAATGAAATGACTAGATATATATAATTGCATGTGTATGTTAACTGATAGAGTGCAAACCCTCATTGTACTGACTGAGAACGCAATGTACCCGTGCATGTAAATGAAAAATATTATGGAAAAGAAAAAGGAGTACCTTCATTGATATTAAATTAGATGGATACTCCAGTGACGGTTGTATTATTTATGAAAAATGAGAAAAATATGAATACAAATATGATATCTATGATAGATATGATTTATACATAATATTGAAAGTCTTGAAATGAAATTATATGATTAAATATAACTATTTTATGATATTAAATGAAAAAGGAATCATGCATATTTTTCCAAATTGTCTTTAGTTACTCTAGTTTAGAAGCATATTTTACTCATTGAGTTGTGGCTTATTTTTAGTTGCTTTAATTTTTTTAATATATAATTTAATATAATCAAAATGAATAGAAGAGGTAAAAATGTGTACCATAAACGTGACGCACCGAATGAAAGATATTTAATTTATTTTATATCATTTTTTTTGAAGTTTTAGTGGTTTTTTTAGTGTATTGGAGATAGAGTTAGCAAATAAGAATTTATTCTACCATCTGGCCATTTGTTACAGCCTCGTTAATTTGAGCCTCCCGGTCGGGTCGTAATATTAAGATCCGTTCATTGTTGAACCAGTCCAGCCAGTTCGATCTGATTTTTAAATTCTTGGGTACAATTGCATGTTGCTTCTCCGATATTACAATCTTTCCCTAAAAAAAACAATATCCTCGATATTTCAAAAGTCAAATCAATGAAACAAATCAAGATATAATTGTCTTATTTCATATTTAATATTCCAAGTGGTTTCTCTTTTTGTCATGTTCTTCCACTGTACATTAACCATTGGGATCTATTTATTTATTAATCTTACAACTTCATATGTCAAAATTCTTTCTACTTCCTCTTTGTAATTGAGATACTCTATTTTTATAACCTGATACTCATTTCCTCAGAGACGAAACGTGGAATATATTATAAATATCAGACATATACTTTGGCACCTATAACATGTAAGAAGACTTTCCAATCCTTCTGGTTATCTCAAATGATCTAATTTATCTTGGACTCGGCTTTCCTTCCTTTTCAAACTTGCTTATACCTTTCATCGATTTAATCTTTACAAATACAAATCTCTAATATGAAATTCTACAGCTCGATGCTTTGCATCATAATACTATTTATGTCTATCCAGCATAGCTTTTAATTTATCTTTGATCAGACATATCTTTTCAGTTACATCATCAACTAAGACTGACTCAATTTGATTCCTCTCTCTCATCTTTGTACAAGATAGAGGGTTCTACACTTCCTACCGTATAGACCTTCATAAAGAGTCATATCTATTCTTGACTAAAAATTATCATATTGTATAGAGCTTCATAAAAATTCATATCTATTCTTGACTGAAAATTATTATTATAAGCAAATTCGATCAGAGAGAGATGATCTTCCCTGCAATCGCCAAAGTCCATAACACATACTGTGTGTGTGTCTATATATCTTTATATTGAGTTGAATGATCAAAACTCCATAATTTTGATTGACAAAAATAATCATGAAAAACTTTAGAGATCAAATTTAGACTTGGCAAAACAAGCGATGATAGAGCACTATTTTTATATCAAAATGTTCACCTCCTCAAGCGAGATCCAATATCACATTCAATTCACAGATCAAAGAGTTATAGGAATCATAGAAACTTAAGAAATGCATATTTAGACAAGCTAATTGCAAGAAAATAATAAAGCCTCAAGACAATTGGACAACAGAGAATGCCAACTTGCAGAAACATTATGTTGGCAGAGCGATCAATGGAGTGGCAATGCAATAGATCAATCATTATCAGGAAGTACATGGAGGCTCGATCCATTAAACTGAGTTGGGTAGGTTTGGCAAAAACTACTTTGGTCAGTTCATGCACAAATGAGCTCAAATTCAAACATTCTTGGTGTTATTAGAAGCAATGGGAAGAGACAATTGTTTCAACCAAAACATTGCGCAGTTTGGAGTTTGTTTGGTCCCTAAAAAAATTTGAAGCAATAATTTGCAATCGATTCAACAATTGAGTTGATTTCAATGTCATATGATGTATGCATTGCTTAATTAGTGCTTAATCAAATTGGAAGTTTTACGATCCCAACAAGTATAACAGTAATAACAACATAGTACTTAAATTTTCATATGATTCTGTGTTCATGCAACACAAATTGTACAAGTAACTCTGCTTAATTTTTTTCATTAACGAAGCAAAAGAAGCAGTAATTGTCACACATGCCTAACTTTAAGACATGTCGGGAGAACTACATAATCCCATAACCACCAAATCAATGAAAAGATGAGTCAACATCCAATCAGTCCTCATATTTCTATGTCAAACATAACATGAATATTAATAAAATGTGAATTTTTACAAGCCCAACAAATATATCAGTACTCTTTAAAAAAAAACAAATATAACAGTAATAACATATTACGTAAATTTTCATGTGATTATTTGTTCATGTAACACATATTGCACCAATAAACTGCTTAATTTTTCATTAATGAAGCAAAAAAGGCAGTAATTCCCATATATGCCTATCTTTATGTCACGCTAGAAGAACTATACAATCCCATAACCGCCAAATCTATGAAAGTGAGTCAACATTTAATCAGTAATGTTTCTATGTTAATGATAATATAAACATAATCGTCAATGCTCCATCAATTATGTATGCAGCACTTAATTGAATATAACAGTCAGTATGCAGCTTGCAATTAGGAGGACGAATAGAAGATGTTATGTCATCACCATGCAAAAGTGACTAAAACAAATAGCAAAATGTCATATCCTAAAGCTGACAACTAGAATTTTATTTACCAGGAAGTGCATGATTGCCTTCGGAACTGTATCCTCAACATTATTCCGAACAATATCATAGTAAGATTTAAGCAATAATTTTGTTATGGTAATCTCCAAAGTCTCCTGCTCCGAATGAGTTTCTGAAGGCTTCAAGACTGCGGGTGGCTATCACAATGAGTGCCAGTTAGAGAGGGTAAATAATTTTGTGTTGCAGCACAACTTAAAAGGACACTAGTTCAGCAATTGGACCAACCTCTCTTAGTTGGATCATGGAGGGTGAATGATCCACATTTTGAGTAGGAATGCTCTGAGGTTTGTTGGATGAACTGTTTGTTGTAGTTGCTCGGTTTTCACTCACACCGAAAATTGTTGAGAAGCCCCAACTTGATCCACTTGCTCCTGATAAATAATAACATTTTATAAAATAATAAAAAATAATAATTGAAAGAATAAGAGTACCTTTTACATGAGAATAATCATTTTCAAAGGTAAATTACCAGATGAACCTCGGTCAGAATCAGCAACAGGTCGAACACCCTATTTCATATTGAATGCAACAATAAGAACACTATAATTTTCTTTATGCAATCATGAAATCTCAATGCCATAAAATCAAAGAGTTAAGATGGATGTGTGATAAACTAAAAATTCTTGAGGTGAGATTGAGATAGTTTGGCAACCACAGTAGCAGAAATATCACTAATAGTAAGTAGGAGAGGTGGGGAGATTTGGCAAATCGAGAGAATGTAAATAGGTTGATTATCATAGTGGGTGAGAGATGGGTAGAAAATTAAAGATGTGTAGGGGGTGTAAAGAGCTTGGTTATGATAATGATATAAATGTTACAGTTCTAAGAGTAATGACTCCAGGGTGTAGTAGCAAGCTTAGAAGACAGACAAGACATCCAAATCACGTAAAACCAAATCCGAATGCAATTACCAACAGGGAGAACTCAAGCAGAAATATTATCAAGATGAAACCTACATAAAGGGAATATTGTTGATGAAATCTGCAGTGAAGAACTCTGAAAACATGGTAGAAAGAAAATAAGGGCAAGGGCAAAAATCTCACGGCAGCCTGCTCATGACCAACTCCATTTGCACCTGACCTAGAAAAAACTGCTCTAGTTTTTTGAGCTTTCTCAGATGTTTGCGACTTATCAGTATCCAACCCTTCCTGCATGAGAATGATCAACAAATTCTTTTAAATCAAAAAACATATTAGAAGATAATTTTTAAAAAGAATTGGTTGCGTATTTCATATCAATATTTATGTAATATTTATAAAATCACATGAGAACTTCTAATAGAAAACATACAAAATATGGAACAATAATCACAATAGTCAGCGAGTTAATGAATAGGTAGAATGATTACAATAATCCAAAAATTATTAACGCAGCATGAAATGAACAAATTTGGAGGACTATTGAGTTCAGGTGAACACTAATGGAGGGAATTTAATAAAGGAAGAATTATTCCATTTTTTCACACTCCCATTCAAGGGAATGAATGGATGTTATCTATTACAACATTAAACGTTAATTTTTGAAATATTGTTCCCGATAATCCTTTTGTGAGAATGTCTAAAAGTTGGCCGATTATATTAATGAATGTAGTACATATTAAATGACAGTCAAGCCTATCTTTCACAAATGCCTATCCACTTTAATCTATTTTTTTCGTTCATATTACATAAGATTATGCATAATTTTAATAGTTGATGATGCTATAACAATAAATCTCATAGGACCTTTGCATTCAAACTTCAAATCATCCAAGATAACAATTTGCAAATTACTAGTATCATAGATCTAAATTCGGCTGATGTGCTGGAACTTGCCACCATCACATTTTGTTTTTTTACTTCTCCAAGTCACGAGATTGCCAACAAATTCTTTTAGATCTTTCGAATCTAGAGGGTCAACAAGAAGGTGGTGGAGTTTTCCCTTTCTAGAAAGGTCATCCCAATTTAGGACCACCAAGGTAGTTTCTTCAATTCAAATAATAGGAGATTTGTAACCCCTAGAAATCTCTCTTAAAAGGATTAGTCTGATTTTTATCATTCATGAAAATTAACTCTTTAGAGTGGAAGTTAAAAATTACAGGCATATAGATGAGAGTGAGAATAGAAGGAAAAATAAAAGGTTGAAAATAGGACCCTAAACCAACTCTGATATCATGTAAGAAAATGGGTTAGATACCGATAGGAAGTGCTTGTAGAAATAGAGTGACCCCTTGGCTTTTTTATTGATGATAGATGGAATAAAAAAATAAGATACAATGAATCCTCAATTGGAGAGGAGGATCCAACCCTCCTAATTCCCTAGCCGCCGGTTAGAGCACAAAACACTCTAAGAACACTAGAATTTCAGAAAACAAAGCATATCACTAACCCTAGGGAAACAACCTACTTAAAGCATACAATAAAGATGTAAATCCCAAAACATGCCCTCCTTTGAATTTTTCCTCCTAAACAAGTCTTAATTTCCTTCGACATATGGTTGTTGGACCCCATAGGAGAGGAGGAAAGGAGAGATCTTCCGCCTCTTATATACTAGGGTCAGTCCAAGATGGATCGGCTGGACAGGTCTAACAATATCCCCCTTCCAAATAACTACCTTATCCTATATGTGGAAGGAAGATAACTGATGCATCACTCTCTCGTACAGCTCCCATGTGGCGTTATAGTTAAGTAGGTTCTTCCACTTTATCAGCACTTCCTTAATTCCTCCCTCTCCTCATCATATCCCTTTTAGCTCTAGTGGCTCCAACATCACCTCCAAATTCTCTGCTAGTTTCACAGATAACTTTGAACTGGAGGCATGATCACTAATAGCTCTCCTCAATTATGACACATGGAACACTGGGTGTATGGTAACAGTCAGGGGTAACCTCAATTGGTAAGCCACTGCTCCAATCCTCTCCAATATCTCGTAAGGGCCAGAGTACCTTGGAGCCAACTAGGGGTGTCAAAATCTAACTTGACCCGAAACCCGGACCAAATCCAACCTAAAAAATCTTGGGTTCAGGTCAACCCGTTTGTCATACGGGTCGGGTTCGAGATTTCGACTCATTCCTAAAATCGAGTCAGGCTCAGATTGACTAGGCAACCCGAAATCAACTGGGGTTTGACCAATGTCGAGTCTGCATAGGGTGTTTGTGTTCCGCTTCGCAGGCTCGCAGCTCAAGTGCTCGATCCCGTCGGCCTGCCCGCATGCCTCGACCTCGCAGGAGCACCCGCGGTCCCGCAAAGGCTGGCCTTGCTGGCCCTCACACTAGCAGTCAAGCCAATCCTCGCCCGAGTAGCCCCGTGTGCTGGCCTCGCCCCGCATGTCAGCCACAGTGTTGCTCAGCCTTCCCACTTGAGTCGCGACTTCGAGTGACGTGTCATGCCCTTGCTCTCTTGGATCAGACTTTCGAGACCGAGTATGCGGGTCGGGTCAAGTCAACTCGCTACCCGCACGGGTCGGTTTGGGTTAGAAATTATGACCTGTTTGTAAAATCGAGTCGAGTTCGGGTTAACTTGTTTAGACCCAAATCAATTCGGGTTGGACCCAAACCCGACCCGTTGACCCATTTTTTACACCCCTAGAGCCAGCTTCTCATTTCTCTTGTTAGCTATCGTCCTTTGTCTGTAGGGACGAAGTTTTAAGTATACCATATCCCCTATCTCAAACATGAAGTCCTTCCTACACCCATCCAGCTACTTCTTCATGATCTGCTGAGCCCTCAACAAGTGTCTTTTCAACTCATCCAACACCCTTTCCCTATCCTCCAAGTACTACACTGAAGAAACTGGTGTGCTATTGTGCAGAAAGTGAAGAAAGTGAGGTGCGTCTCTTCTGTACAACACCTTCGAAGGAGTTATCTGGGAAGCCGAATGATACGAAATGTTGTAGCAGTATTATACCCATGCTAGCCACTTGGCCCACAAATGAGGTGTCTCTAAAGCAAAACATTGCAAGTACGTCTCTAGGCCCCGTTTTACCACTTCTGTCTACCCATCTCTCTATGGGTGATACGTGGTGCTCCTCTTCAGCATTATCCCCTACAGCCTGAATAGCTCCCTCTAAAAATGACTGAGGAATACCTTATCTCGATAGGATACTATAGACTCTGTTATCCCATGTAGTCTGAACACCTACCTGATGAATGTCGTTGCCACTATCACAGACATGTAAGGATGTATAGGGTAATGAAATGAGCATGCTTGCTTAATCTGTCAAACACCACCATAATCACTGTAAGCCCCTTAGATCGAGGTAACGCATCTATAAAATCCATGGTGACCTCCTCCCACACTTTCTCTGTAAGAGCTAAGGGTTGTAGTAATTCCCCTGGAGCCATGACCATGTATTTGTTCCTCTAGCATACCTCACATCTAGCCACCATCTTCTCCACTGCCTTGTGCATCCCCTTCCAATACAACTCTACCGCCAATCTCATGTACGTCTTCTACACAACAGAATGACCCCTAAAAACACTCCCGTGGAACAACTACAACAGGTGTGGAATATGGACCGAGATTCGTGGAAACACAAACCTTCTCTAGTACAGCAGTATCTCCTGTTGTAGGGCATAGTCAGGGTGGCTATTCTAATCCCTAAACAGAACCGCCCTAATCCTCCTCAGCACCTCATCCTACATACTCTCCTTTTTAATAGCCCGCCAATCCAACATCAGTGGTATCAAAATGACAAACTCCTGGAGCTCCCCCATGCATCTGGACAAGGGATCAGCCGTCTTGTTCTCTACCTCAGGTCTATACTCGATCTCAAAATCATAGCCTAACAGCTTTGACAGACACGTCTAATGCTCTTCAGTCGTCATTCTCTACTCTAACAGGTACTTCAAGCTCCTTTGGTCTATCATGACAATGAAATATCGGTCCAACAAGTAAGGTCGTCACTTATGAATAGCAAACACAATGGTCATCAACTCTCTCTCATAGACTAACTTCAACCTAGCTCTGGCTATAAAAACCTGTCTAAAGTAAGCTACGGGTCTATGATTCTGCATTAGCACTGCCCCAAATCTATACCCTAATGCATCAGTCTCTACCACAAAAACCTGGTTGTAATCTGGTAGGGCTAGGAATAATGTCGTGGTCATAACCTTCTTCAATCACTCAAAGGCCTAGGTAACTATCTCTCCCTACAAGAAGCTATCATTCTTTAACTGCTCTGTCAGCGGCCAAGCTATGGTGTCATATCCCCTCATGAATCTTTTGTAGTACTCAGTTAACCCCTCAGCTCCCTCGGATTCTTAGGTAGAGGCCATTTCAGCATTGCCTCCATTTTTTTCTGATCAGCGGCCACCCCCTCCTGAGATACCACGTGCCTCAAATACTCCATACTAGCCTATGCAAAACAGCATTGCTTCAGGCTAGCCTTCAGCTGATGCTCCTATAACAGCTCGAATACCACTCTCAAGTGCTCCAAATGCTCCTCACCCAACCTACTATACACCAGGATGTCATCAAAGAAAACCAGTAGAAATTTCCATATGTATGGTCGGAACGCCTTAATCATGAGGGACTGGAATGCAGCAAAGGTGTTGGTAAGGCCAAACGGAAACACCATAAACTCATTGTCCTTCAAGTATCCTGAATACCATCTTCGAAACATCCAAATCTCTCATCCTGATCTGATGATACCCAGATTACAGATCCATCTTCGTGAACACCACCACTCAATTAAGCTCGTCCAACAACTCATATATCACTAAAATGGGAAACTTGTCTAGCACAGTTTCCTTGTTTATAACCCGGTAAACCACGTAAAATCTTCAGCTCCCATTGTTCTTCTTGACCAGCAAGACTAGGCTAGAAAAAAGACTCATCCATTCCACGCTTATAGCCAAACCCATCTTCAAATTCTCCCCTCCTAAAATCAGCACCTCTTTGATCATGATCAACCTCTCTCCTTTCAAAATGAACGCCCCTTCGTTGCTTTCATTGAAAGTTTCCTATAAATTTTTAGAGTTTATGGTAGGTCTTACTACTTCCATTGGAAGTGGCCTGTAGATTTTTTATTTTGGGTAGGTTAGTTGATGCAACCAAAAATCAAAACCAAGATTGCAAACATAAACCATATAACTTATATTAATTTTGAGAAGAAGAATACAAGTGAGGCGGGAACCATGGATATAGAAGAAGGGATTAGAAGACCAAGA